AAAACATTAAATTTGTAAAAACTTACAAAAACATAAAACTGAATTTTCCTTTTCCCTAGATAATATGGTAAAACCTAATAAACTAGTACCTGGCCTTCTGAGTTTTGTTTTTTTCACTGAATTACTAACTGTATAATCATTTTTTAATAATACACAATAGCATTGTCTATATTTCTGCAAAATCAAAATACAAAACGAATAATTAATTTTATTCGATATTATCAATTGTATTTAAAAATAAATCAATGTATTTATTCTTAAAAATTTAACCTTACATTTTCAAATTTTGTTACAAGAATTAAATATTTTTGATCTCTATTAATAATTATTTCTGCTGATTCGATAGTTTCTACTGGCATTATGACATCTTTCATTTCATCTTTACTCTTGCTAACTGCAGACTCTAAATCTCTTATAGATCCATTTTTAAACAAAACTATTAATTTTGGCTTTTTATCTATTCCATCCTTAGTACATAATAATATTTCATGAATTTCATTTTTAAATTTATGCTTTTTAGCTTTTTCTAAACTTGAATCTAGTTTAGACCATTGCTTAATATATATGTTATCAAAAACTCCGACATAATTTTCTTCGACAGGATCCCAAACAACTTTCGATGTTAATTTTGCAAGTGTTGAACTCCAACTATTTAGCTGCTTTTGATCTGACAGCTAAAATTAGGTAAGAGAAATTTTAGATAGAGAAAACATCATTGAACTAAAGAAGCAGAAAGGTTATAGGCTACAGAGTTTAAAACCAAATTTGACTTTTAATTCACAATATTAAATGTAAATTTGTTTTTTTACTTTCAGTAGCAAGTTGTGTCAATAATAAACCTGCTTAGATTTATGTATCTGATATATATATATTTTAAATTTTAGTATTTAATTTGGCTTAATTGGAAATTCGTGGCGTAGAGAAGAATATAAAGTAAAAAATTAAATATTGTAACTACAATTTATTTTAATAAAATAATTCTGTTTGAAAAAACATAACCTACCCGGCAACGAATAATCATACTTTTTCCTAACGTCACAGCAACGCATCCTTCATCATCTTCAGAAACTCCTAAAAGGCCCTTTGAGTCCGTAATAGAACATAAATTAAAAGCTGTATTAAAACTAGCCATTTTTTAAAATTTGTTTAACGTATAAAAACATAAAAATATAAAACACGAGGGCACCATATTAATTTTGTGGCTGTTGGTAAAACTGTTAGCTTTTAGAGCACAATGGGGCCCCAATTATGGGAGGGCCCCCATTAAGCCGCCATTGACGCTTTAACAATATTTACCTGCGAAATGTATACAAACAAGTAGTGTTTTTTTTAAACTTTTTTAACTATTTTGTGCATTTAATTTATAATTTATTATTCAAAATGACAATATTAAAGTTAATCGAATTAGAAAACTTTAAATCATACAAAGGAAAACAAATAATAGGTCCGTTAAAATCGTTTACAGCAATAATTGGTCCCAATGGTTCAGGGAAATCGAATTTAATGGATGCTATCAGTTTTGTTATGGGCGAAAAAACGACTAGTCTTAGAGTTAAGAGATTGAGTGATCTTATACATGGAGCATCAATTAATCAGCCTGTTTCTAAACGGCTTCCGTGACAGCTGTTTTCGAATTAAATGATGGAAATTTAAAATATTTCACTAGAATGGTAAACGGTTCTTCGTCAGAAACATTATATTGATAAAAGAACTTGTTACTAATATGAAATA